TTAATTTTATATTCACAACTCTAAGATCAGGGCCACGCAGCATACTCATACTGTCAAACAAATAAATGAATAAATTAAATAAAATTCTTAAACCACTTTATGTACATATACAAAATATATATACTATATATTTATATATATATATATATATATATATAAATAAATGAAGTTATAATGAGAGGAACTTAATAGAGAGGTGAGGTTTACTACGTCATGAATACCAATACTAAATTCACACCAGTAAGCCATGCCATAAACCATAATAAACATTCAAACACACTATTTAACACTGATCTGTCTGTTGCATGGGTAAAACCCACTCTTAATGACACCAACTCCTGTGTGATTGTCTATTGTCAGACAAAGACCCTCCCCTGCCTTCGCCATTGTTTTCTATTATGGCTGGCAGCGCTGGTGCTCAGCTATGCCTTTTCCTTACTGTTAACACAGTGTCAGACAAAGTGGAGCGACCGGGCTGTTACTGACTCCACCTGACAACAACATAATTTTTCTTTGTCACGTACAGATGCTTGTGGAATTGAGAGGCGTAGAGAAGCATTTTAACCACAGTGCGAGATTAATATCTTCAGTTGTAGCTTTGATATTATTTTTCAAGGTGCAAAACTAAAAGAGAATCTGAGCTGAAAGCGCCAGAGAGTTGTATTATAGACTAGGTTTTATCTGCTTTGTTCAGTCTCACACAAAAATTGTGTGAGGCCTAGTTTAACATCTGTGTCAATATCAAGCTGAGCACACATTGGACACTTTGATTTGTTTTATTGTCTGACTGATGCCTGAATACTGTGTTGGAATTTAGGAGCTGAGCCATTAGATTTTAGCTTTGAAATCATTTCCACACGTGACTGTACGAGAACTCCACAACAGGGGTCGACTTTAAATACAAAACATGTAAACAAGGATAAGCTCATGACTTTTGTCTTCTGCCTGGCAACTGAGCTGAAATCTCAATCACGGTTGTAGGAGGAGAGGGTAAGCTGTAAGAAGCAGAAGAATTTAAAACGCTTTTTTTTTTTTT